TGGTCTGTGTGTCAGGGCATGAAAAAAAAGTCTGCTAGAAGATTTTGAACTGCTCCTATGTTAGGAAGAGATATTACAGGAGAGGTATATAATAAAATTCAAAGGTTAAGACACACCAAACAACGTTAGGAGGTTTATGAGAGATCACACCACCACTGGTCAAAAGGCAGCTGAGAGTACGTTGCCTTCTGCGATCTTTGAACAAAGCCTTCTGCACTGCGAGAAGGTATGCAGAATGATGTGGCAAGATTTCAGCATGCTGTGATAGCTAGGATGATATTCTCAAACAACTATGGTTTAATAAAAAGTGAAGTGATTTTAAATATATATATAAAAATATGTGATCATTGCATTTTATTATTTTTGTTTGAGAGACATTTATGGTATGTGGATTCTCACGTTTGCTGGACATTCGCTGAAAGGGTTAGGGGTGCTGCAGGTAATGGAGAAATTTCTGTAAATCATCTGTGGATTATGGAATGAAAATATCTGCTTAGATTCAAACCGTGTTTCCCAGGCTGTTTTTGCAACAATGGGAAACAGTCACACACACACACAGAAGGAGAAACATGCTTTTTGCAAACTGTCAATTTTATATGAAACTCGTCTCTGCAGAAATTTTAATGTACTCAGATTTTTCCTATGAGCAAGACAAATGGAGATAAGTGAAGAAACTTCTCCAGTTTTTACAACTGGTGAAAAAGGGAGGTGAAAAAGGGAGGCGAAAAAAAGAAAAGAGAAAAAGCCACGTTATTCTGAAGAAGTATGTGTATTTTTTAGATGTAACTGTTGTTTCATTTTCATTATGATTTATTGAGTGCTGAATCAAGTACTTGAAAGCAAGCCCTAAAAACAGAAGCAATGAAGATATAAATATGAGGCTGAAGGATGTGCTAAGGAAAATTTTTCTAAATAATCCAACCACACAAATTTGCAGTACCTCTATTTTGCAAAAAGAGTGTCAATGAAAGGCTATTACTTTTATCTAACACAGAGAAAACCTGCACAAGTGTCCTTGTCATCACAAACTTTCAAGCTTAATGGTTTGGTTTTAGTTACCTGCAGTGGCTGCCTGTGACTGTATTTACAGAAATAAAGACATCTAGTTTAAAATCACAGATAATCACATTTTTGTGGGGTCTTTCTCTTTCTTCATTTCTTTCTTTATTTCCAGAATGTCTGAAATAAGGTGACTGAGTTCACTAGTGTGGAAGAAGGTGCCTGAGTGCGAGTACCTGTGAGCATGGAAATTCTCCCTGTCTGAAAACACTGAAAAAAACACTGAAACTGAAATACTGAAAACAGGGATATCACCCTGAGCAACTCTGACACAAAATTAGTAGTTCTTTTGACTGTATTTTTCACATCTTATAGTACTTGTTACTCTTCTTAAAAAGTGGTATGTTAAAAATATGTGCTTGTTTGAGTCTTTAGAAACTTGAAAACTATCAGGATGCAATTGCAGCAGCCGTTTCTGAGTATTATGATTTTTTCAGCGTTTTTATTTTTCAGTTACTTCGAAGCCCAAACTCATGTATTTAGAGGTCTTTGTTACTTATCCCAGATTATCCCTCATCTCTGATTCATATTTTTGCATTCAAAACATTTCATTCTGGTGGCTTTTATGTTTTCTATGACTTAGTGGAGGAGAAATTTTCAGCTCTCTTCAGGTGCAGTGTATGGGTGGCCCTTTGTAGGTTCATCTGGTCAAAACAAAGTGCATGAAATTATTAAACCTACTGTGGCTCTTCTTCAGGCATATTCATGGCTGGGTATTTATTTTATATGACCGATTGGTTCTGTTCATGTTTTGTTTTTCTTCCTGTTCCTCTTTCTATTTCTTCTGTGTATTAGACATGTGGTAATTCTTTTTCACTGTAAATATGATAGTGGTTGCATCATCTGAACATCTTGTGTAATACAGAACTTGCACTGAACTGTTTTACAGCTCCAATTTAGCGCTGTCTTACTCTGCAAAACAATTTTGACAAAATAAATAAAAGGTCGTGCAGTCCTGCCAGTCACTGTCCAGACTCAGTCCCTCCTGTCAGAGCTTTTTGGATTGGGATGATCCGCAGTTGGCTGGTGCTAATCCCGGCTCACCGTGACTCAGCAACATGCTTTTCTCTTCTGTTTTTATTTCATTTCAGCCATTTGCAGAAGTGGGCAAAGGAGTTCTGCACACAAGAATCTTTTAATCTAAAACAACCCTCCCCCCTTTTTTTTTCTTTTTAATGAAGAATGAGGAAGTGAAGATAAGCAGCTGAAGAAGAGCTTATTGGCTGTGTCTGAGTCATGCATTATTTGTTGCCAAAGGTCTTCCATATATGTTACCTGCTTTTGTTAGCACTTAGTTGGTTATTTTCAAATTGAGCTCATGTTCCCTGTTACCTCTTGTAAGCAGAGACCTGATGGAAGAGACTCCCTCAGAGGACTTCAGCTCCTGTGCTCTGAAATATTGCAGTTTGCTAGAGAAAAGTGCTTTTTGCTAATACTAAAGTTGGTGAGACTGTCCAACTATGACATAATGACTAATAAAGCAGACTTGATTTCTATATTTGTTGCATGAAAACCTCAGTAGCTTTCCCTCTGTACAAGTGAGAACTCATCAGCTGCTCCCAGACTCTAGAAAATCAACAGCACTTTGGATAAGTTCACCAAGACTAGTAAGCAAAATGTAGCATATTTAGGAC